ACCATGTTTCTATAGTAGCCCAGAAGGGACAAACCAAACACTGGCTCTAGATAGGGCCTTTCATGTTTTTTGAGAGTTTCTCAGCCACCGTGGTTTCTTCTAAATGCTTGGAAAGTGAGGGACAGTGGAAGGGGTACTCAGTAGGTTGCAATGTGTAACTAGATGCAACACTAGATGCTACTAAATCCACTAAAAAGGCCATTAAAAGGACCAGTGTTGCCCTTTAATGGCCAGTAGGAACAGTAGGAATGATTACAGCAAGCATAACCTGTTTCAATGTACATATGAGCACCTGACTATTGTTTTAATACAGACCAAACCTATCCTTTAAAGGACCAGTGTGTAGGATTTACTGGCATCTAACAGCGTGATTGTAGATTGTAACTCTATCGCTTCACCCTCTGCTCCCAAGCGTGAAGGAGAAACTATGGTAGCTGTGAAATGCGCACAAAACATGAACGCCCCTATTTAGAGCCAGTGTTTGATTTATTCCTTCTGAGCTACTGTAGAAATACAGCGGTGCAATAAGGTGGACCCCATGTCTGTAGATATAAACAGCTCATTCTAAGGTAACAAAAACATAACCATTCCTATCTTCAGGTGATTTTACACTAATGAAACCATGTTATATATTTAATTTCTGCCAATCGATCCTTCAAATGTTAAACACTAGACCTTTACAGTTTTCTAGATTGTTTACACACATTTTCTGAAAGCATGCCTCATACTCTCAGAACTCTACACACAAATCAAAAAACACACACACAATGGGCAAAACCCCTCAATTCTCCTGCAAAATGAAACTTTACATTCAAAACAATGTTCACAATGTAATTCTTCATGAAAATTGTGCCAAATACAGAGAATTGTGTGTAGTGTTTTGAAAAAAGTGTGTTTTAGAACTGCAATTTGAGTGTAAAGCAGGAATTGTGCTTGTAGTTTAGCAGAATTGGTTCAGGGGGTTGGTGCATGAGTTACATGTTGTGGTCATTGTGTCTCAAGTACCAGTATTTGTGTGTAAACAATTGAGAAAAACTGTAATATTACTCATTGGTACTGCTGATATGAAGATGCCCTGCACTGCTTTGTTGACTCAGTACGTCTCTTCCTGCAGTGTGTGCCAGCAGCAGCTGCCAGCCACTGGCGTGCCAATCACACGGCAGCGTTTCGACCACATGAGGCAGAAGTTCAGAGAGTACGTTCAGGCGCAGACACTGCAAAACTGGAAGTTCTGGATCGTATCCTTATGAATGTAAACCTGGTTAATTAAAACATCACACTGCCACAAACACGCCTTAAAAAACGTATATATTATAATCCTGCATTAAGTACAAAATGTACCCATCTGTTCCTGTATGTCCTGTATGTTTCTGTACTGTGCAGTTGTTGGCTGCAGCATCAACTAGCTCCTTCAGACTTATCAAATTTTGTTTTGTTCGACCTTTTTCTTTGAATCCAAATGAACTAGTTGCACAAATAATAATGCGACTCTGAAAGGTACAATGCACATGGTAAGTGACCAAAACCTGGTCTTTGTACAGATTTAAGTATAATAACAGTTTTAATTCATACAAAGCACATTATTCATCTCAGTGTAATCAGGCAGCTAAAATAAATGCCTGTATGTTGCAAATGCCAGTTGCATAAAAAATATTGTGATATTAATCCATAGCTCTTTCCTTAATGATCACCAGATCTGTTACTGCTGCCCTTATCTTGCAGGCAAGATAAGAAGATTAGATTACGATTTTATCATCTTAGTGTGTTGCACAAAAACACCTTCAGGCTGTTTTCTTTCCATGAATATTAAGGTATTTTCTATGGTTCCTTAAGGGGCTGTGCGTTTATCTGACTTCTGATATTCCAAATTAAAAACACACAGTTCTGAGAGAGGAACTTTTCCACTTACATAGAGCCATGATAGCAATATGTACCTTATGTTTGACTGCTCATTTTCTAGTCTCTTCATAGACAGTTCTATTCAACAATGACGCATTTAGTTTTTGTCAACCACTTGTTTATCACTGCTTCCAAAAGAGTGAGCCACACACTTTCAATGTTATATATGAAATAACCATTAAAGAGTAAGTATGATGATCAAACAAATCAACAAATCCCATTAAAAGACCAAAACCACCAATGAACTGATTCTACTAACAAGTCTGTAAAGGCAAAACCTGATATATCTTATTCCTCTGTGCCGTAGAGCTCCATTGTTTCAAACAACACATCAGTGAGCCGCACTGAAGACATGTTCCTTTATAACAGTAGACATGCACAGTGTAATTTATTTTGAGTTGATCACATGCACCGTCCTGTTGCTGTAAATAATCAGTAGCACACCCAATGTGTATTAATCCACTGCTGAAAATAGTCCCCAACACATTGATGATTTAATTCTGTTTGAGTAACATTTGCTAAACAATTCAGTGCCCAGCTGTTAAAGGAAATTACTAAACTTTTTTGAAAATTAAACTAAATATGATCTGTTTTTAATGTTTTATGTCCATGGTAGGAACCTAACAGATTTGGTTCAGTGCTGCATACAGGGTACGTCGGAAAGTATTGAAAGACAGACTTACATGGTTTTGTTCTTTTCTGGGATTTGTGGACAACAAGGAAGCTATAGAATAACACCAGTACAATAAAACACTTAGCTATGGACACATCATTTGAGACACAATGCAATGCTTAATATCAATTCAGTAACGTTGACAGCTGAAGAGAATTGATGAACTCTATTGTTTGAATGAGCCAGACTTGTTTCCTCAACTCAGTGTCAGTTCAGTATCATCATCGAGCCGCTGTTTGAGTCCTATAATGGAATGGTGTCCACTGCCAGTGTGGAGGACCTGTGTCGATCCACTCTGTCCTGGCTGGACCAACACTGTTCCCTTCCCTCCCTGAGACCCAGTAAGTCCAGTACAACTGGTTCCTCGATGCAGTGCTAAACCCACATTTTTACAGCAGCTATCCATAGTCTGTCAGCATTGGTCTTATCCATATGTTTCCCATTGGAGTTTCACATCAACTGCAATCTCTTTATCGCTCCTCTCAGTGGTTCTGAGTTCACTCCGTCTCCTGAGTACCAGCACGGCCATCCTGACAGACCCCAGCCTACTGCCGGAGCAGGCCACCCTCGCCGTCACACAGGGCGACCCCGCTGCTGCCCTGGACCACTCCTTACCGCCCGCCCCTCGGGACAATATACACCCCATGTGACCATGAAGAAAAGACTTGGTGGAAACTGAACTGGAATCCACCACAATACGCAGGAGACTACAAGTCAGAGGGGAGCATGTGGAATGATTAAAAGACTCACCACTCAGCTCGGAGACTTTTAATGATGCATAATCACATTCCAATTAAACTCACCAGCTGCAAAAAGAATGTATTCCAGTACACCCAAAAATCAGAGGGACTCTGTTTGACCATGCTTCAATTCTGATAAAGATATAACATACTTGTAATGTACACTTGTAATTATTTATCAGCCTGAAGATCCTTTTCTTTGGCAGAGCAAAAGTTCAGGAAGGATATGTCAGACACTTTGATTAATCTGTTTAAATAATTTGGGAACATCAGCTGACAACTTCATTTATTCTCATTTCCTTTCACATCTCACGTTATCTTTTCTGTCTATAATACATTATTCCCTTAAATCACTGACATTTACTTAGTGCAATATGTATACTACACCTCACACCAGTGCTAGTATTTATAAAAAATACAAAATTCATATCTTCAGTTGGCAGGGGTTATTTCAGGATATTCAGCTTAGTGGTTCTCAAAGTAGAGTCTGTGGACCACCAGGGCTTCTCAGCAAGGTCCAGAGGGTGAAATGAAATAAAAGATAGTTAAATTATACTATTGCTCGCTCTTTATGTCAGACTGTGCAAGGGTGTCTGCTTTGATTAGAGATTTCAGCCTTTCAGTTTTTTTTATACTTAATCAGAACAAACAGCCATCCTCAGAAGTAGGGCAAAAGTTCACTAAACCCTGAGAATAAGTTGAGTGCCAGCACAGATTGAATCTGAATTAGAAATTTAGAAATGTACAGACTGAATATTGTATGCTTAACTAACGCACTTGTGAATTAAACGCACTGTTTTTTCCAGAGCTGATAATGAGTTGCACATGCAGAGTACCGATAGGGCAGAAGGTAGGCATCGGGTACTGACACAGCTACCCCCATGGCCTACATACCCACAAAGCCTTGCGGTCCAAAGAAGTCCTTTGAAAGGAGTTGATTGAATTGGAGTTCTTCTGTTCTACAGTCTCCTGGATGAGTGCCTCTGAGCTGAAACTGAATTTGAAAACTAAATTTGGGACTCCACCGAAAAAAGACTCACTCAATATTAAATTTCAGTCGGTGAAATACAACTTAAAATGTTGCAGACAATATTCAGTTTGCACATTTGAAATTCAAAACTGTCCAAGTTAGATTAAATTTGTGCTGGCACTAAAATATTTCCATGTAAAACACAGCACACAGTTTATTGAAGTACATAACTCCTGGATACGCTGGTATACACATCTTTTCACTGCAGACATTTTGGCTCTGCAAAGTGAAAGCACAGGTGTTATTAATAACATTAATGATGGCTCTGTTATATTCAAGTCTCCTAGTAAATCATGACAGTGTGACAGTGAGCCAGCATGCGCAATACCAGCGCCCTGAACCTGAAGCTAAATGGAATTCAGCCATCATTAACTGAATCATTAAACATAGTGCTTTCCCACTGTGACGTGTCAATATATCCTCCGTGAAAGAAAACTTTTTGACTTCCAAATGATGATATAAAAAGTGAACTGTGGTCCATAAGGCACAGAAACACTGGGGGACTCACCCCGCTAGGTGACGCTATTCCAATGCTCTTGACTCAAAGTCTCCCCGGTCGGCAGACGCTCCTCCGGTCCGACAGAGGGCGCTGTGCTGCGGGCGGGGCCGGAGAGGCGCAGTGTGGGTTATTGTTCCCGGAGCTCCTCGGTGCGCTGTCCACTTCAGCACCACAAGCCGAGCAGAGGCAGCGGGCTAGCTAACGCTGAAGAGGAGGGACTGAAGACACGGCTCCACATCAGCACCAGCACCGACCCGAGTCCCGAATACAGAAAATACTGAAATACACCCACCGATATCCGCCAGACCCGCCGACAACAAACGAGGCAAACGACTGCAGAAAAAGGTAAGAGTTTCCGAAGAAGCTCAAATAGGATCAAGTTGGTGGAGGCAGGGATAATAACGGGCATCACTGAAGAAGAACAAGCTCCCCTTCCCTTTCCTGGTTCATAAATACTGTATGGCTGTATTAAGGCGGTGTTTACATTAGCTTCTTGCTCTGTTTGCGCCTCATAAATTCATCCGTTCAGAGAGAAAGAGGCACCGTTCAGTCCTAACGGGCTGTACGGAGACCGTGTTGTGGCTGGGGAGCCTCTCCTCGCCTTGCAGATGGTGGTGTTTTGTAACTCGTCGATTTCCGTTGCTGCTGTCTCTCTTTCTGTCCCTCCGTCCAGGCTGCGGGACATTTCACATCCCCGTCACCGCTCTGGTTCTGTTGCCATTTTTGTGTGCGCTTAAAACCGCCTCCACTCCGGTTTACACACCGTGGTCATCTGCGGGATTATAAGGCTGACATAGTGAATGTGTTTGCATGCCCAGCCTTGTCTAAAAGATGCGGATGTTAGTCGTATGAAATAGGATTTTCTAAAATAAGCAGAAATTTGAACCGAGTTTGGTTCACAGATGATCATGAGCTGGATACTTTCCTCATTTGCAGTGATGGTTGTGAGTAGTTTGCAAATAGACAAAGACTGAGGAGTTATTTGCTCATTTACTGTACAATCTAGTGAAAAGGCTGTTTTATTCTTCTTTAAAATTAGACCACACTATACACTCACTGTGCCTGTTTTTAATGACCCCAAAGAGCTGATGTTCTATTTCTAATGGAGGCAGTTGACAGGATTGGCTCTGTGTCATTTTATTCCCAATGTGTGAATGCTCTCATCCACCTCTGGTGGGTTAAAGTGTCAGGTCTCATGAGCAGCCACGCTGTAAATTGTTCCCAAAACTGTGCTCTGAGGGAGTGTTGTCTTGTTACAGCTTCTGGTTAATTTGAAACTTGGATCTTAACAGAGGGAGAGAGAGAGAGAGAGAGAGAGAGAGAGAGAGAGCAGATGTTTTAGGTATTAATGGAGTTTTTTAAACATGTAGGTCACATTTTAAAGATGAGTCGGAATGAGCTCGATGTAGCTCTTTTGCTTTGGCTGCAGTGTTTCTAGGCTATGTAAGGATTCCTTGTATATCCCGATGTAACAAATAAAACAAAAAGCAAAATGTAACTTTGTATTTGAATATTGTCGAAATAGTGACGTGGAAAAAGATAAAAAAGATAGACAGTAAAGTGTTTTATTTATTTTCAATAGAGAGGACCTCCATGCTTGTGACTAGCTCTGGGCTGTCTCCTCATACTTGGAATATTATCTTGTGAAACACAATATTGATACTAGAGCTGAAACAATTACTCGATTAATGCATTAGTGGATTTACAGGAAAATGAATCGGCCTCCAATTTGACAACAACAATCAGATGTTTGAGTCATTTTTTAAATTAAAAATGCCAAACATATGGGGCATCGGAGGCTGGGTCCCTGCTGCAGCAGCTGTGGGTTCGAGTCCGACCTGTGGCCCTTTGCTTTGTCATCCACCCTCTCTCCCCCTTTCCTGTCAACCATCAGCTGTCCTATCAAATAAAGGCAAAAAAGACCCCCAATATATATATATATATATATATATATATATATATATATATATAAATATATATATATATATATAATATAAAAAGTTTCCAGCTTTTCAAATGTGAGGATTTGCTGTTTTTCCTGTTTTATATAGAAACTAAACATGAACTAAATATTTTGGACTGTTGGTCGGAGAACACAGACTATTTGAAGATGTCGCCTTGGGTTTTGGGAAATTGTAACGGACATTTCTTTTAATTTACGGACATGTATAAGCTGAACGATTAATTAATAGAGAAAACAATCAGCAGATTGATTGTTAATGAAAATAATCATTAGTTGCAGCCCCTGACCAATGACAGAAACTCACAATCTATCATGCTGCTGCGAATTACATTAGGATACACAGCTGTGTGACTAAATTCACAAATGCCCACTGCAGACCATGCCGACATAGCAAATGAGTGTTTGGCTCAGTCCTCGTGAACACCCCTGGAATCAGTAATCAGCTCTCGGTTTGTGACACGCTGCTCGGTTAAAAAGGAAAAGTCAGCATGAGCTGTGTGAGTGACAGCACAGTGACAGTGCTGACCAAATCCTCAGCTGCATGGGACTTTGAGCACCACTGTGCTGGTCTGGCCAAAACCAGAATACTGAGTGTATCTTGGAAAGCGGTCTTCCATTTTGTCACTGGCGAGATAGGTCCAGGTGAGGTAAGAGGCTGATAGAGGGATTAGCTTGTATTAGGATGTGGCTGCTCATAGAGGTGTGAGAGAAGTGTCAGTCACTCTCGCTCTATCTTCCTCCGCCATCTGTCCCTCAGCCTCTTTCTCCCGCAAAACATCTGTCTCCTGCTCGCTCTACATTCACATTGTTCCTAGATGAACAGCGATACCCCCCTCCCACCACAAACACCACCACCACCACCACCACTCTGCAGCATCTCAGTGGCTCTCCTCGCTGTCCGTCCTCGCCACATGCAGCCTCTGTCGGTGCATAATTCCCTGCGCCCCCCTGTCCTCTCATCCCGCCGGCAGACACGCACTGCTCCTCCTCCTGTCCTACTTCCATCTTCTTCAGCACTCCTGAAGGGCGAAGCTGCTGTTGGTGAGGCCTATCACACAAGTACCATTTACCAAGTGTCGAAGCACAATAGCTGCACATTGCCTCATGATGTGATCTGATGGTGAACGCACACACAAGTACTGCATTGTGAGAGCACGTATTGCTTATTGATAGAAAGCAATGCCAAATAGACTCACAGGAAAAAGGAAAACATGACTTTCTGATTCTCCTTGAGTCTGTACTTGAGTTGGCGGGGCGACTGTAGCGTAGCTGGGCTGTATGGTTTCCCTGCAGGTGGTAACTCCTTCATGTTTTATTTAAAAGGCTGTGTTCCTGTCTCAAATCCAAATAGACTTATAGAGAGTGCTTCCAGCTAAAGTTTTGCAGCTGTATCATCCTTTTAAGGAATTAGTGTTTTATTTTGGCGGTTTTTGAAGCAAACTTATCACAGTGATCAGAGTGACAGACTGAACAAGACCTTGCACCACCAGTGGGAAATTAGACCCCCTCAACATTCATTAAAATCTTGTTTGAGACATTTCATTCAATTTGTCAAATTATATTATATTGTTTTGTTTTGACCTGTCACACTATTTTGTTGCACTGTATTTATATTTCCTTATTTAGTCACAGTGCACTCATGATAGATGGTGGCTATATTGCTTATTATGGCTATATTTAAATCATATCTCTGAAAGCAAATGATGTGTTATTAACTAAGACATTCTCAGCGAGTTACATTAAGGAAGTAAACATTTATAATATTTCATTAAGAATTGGGTTGAGGAAGTCAAACACTTTGTTCAACTAGATTATTGACATCTTTATACATCTTTTTACTTACTATAGCTTCAAGGATAAGTTCCTAGTTTTTAAGTCTGTCAGGAGTCAGGAGCCAGTATGAATATTCTAACATTCCTCCTGTTCATAATGGCTGGGAACAGATTCCCTCCTATTGAGGACAAAATCTACAAATCTGCATAAAACTGAATTCCAAAGTTGATTTAAAGGCTGCTAATGAGGCTGCAGCAGTCTGTTAGACAAATCACGTGGGTGTTATGGTGTTGTACTATTATGGTTTTAATTGTACAAAAAGGTGGAATTTAGGACTAAAAAGACTGTAACTTTGGAAGATCACCCACTTTATTTGCTTCATATCATAGTAGTTTCAGATAGCTTTGGCATCATTTCTTGCGCAGAAGGAGGACTGAATTTAGTCAATGCAAACAAAACCTGTTTTGGTGTACACACTGTATGTGCGCCCAGCTACTCTTTCAGTTGTCAGACAACAATAAAGCCAATAACAAGTACAGGCATCAAAATAATTCATACAAACAGGTTGACACAATCATTGCAATTTAATTAAAAAGGATTTTACAATTTCACCTCCTCCTGGAGAGATCCTGATGCTGTAACCTCCAACCATTTTGTGCTTGAAGAGTTATCAGCAGCTGCTATAAGACCATGGTGTTATACAGATTGATACCCAGCACACTCTACACTGGCTGCGGCCCTCGAGAGGCTGTTATGAGCTATGTGCTGTTGTTGTGGGGTGTTGTTGCCATCATCAGATCCTGCAGCAGCCCACTCACAGGCAGAATGCAGCACCTTCCTATCTTCCATTAAGGTTACCTGAGATGAATTATCCCCGCAAGAAAATCCCCCACCCCTCCGGCTTTGCAGCGGGGGCCTGTGTCACAGTGCTCACGCTGACAAAATAGCACACCACTCTACCCATGTTAGAGCGCATCCATTTTTAATCCTCCTCCTTTGAGTAACACACAATCAGGTACTCTCTCCCCGTCTGGCTGATGCCTCTTGGAGTTTGCTTTTGATGTTTTATTCCATTTCTCACACGCATCATCATGTGTGGGTTTTTTTTATACATTTCCAATGCTTGGTGAAGCAAGACTCAACTCACTATGGGATGTGGGAAATGTTGTTCCATTCTGAATCCCTGTGACTCTATGGTGACACAACAGGTACAGTGTTGCCATGGATTCAGCGACTTGGCTGTGGGCCACCCTTTTTTAGCCCGTATTTGTTTAGAGTTTGGAATTCTAGCACCATTAAAAGTATGCCAAGTTAGTATCAGCAGCTCCTTTTCGCAGCGAGATCTTGGCTGTACTGAGAACTATCACTGGATTGCTTTGATACACTGAAGAAAACAAACGTGATGGTTCTTAGACAAGTTCTGGAGTTAAAAGAGGCATCATTTTTCTCTGATTTCTGATCCGTTTTATGGATGATTTTACAACATCGGACATAATGATATCCCTAAAGTAAAGTCACACTGAATCTAAAAATATGTGTCTTTGTGTTCAGATTCGACTGAGTCATGGCTGCGATAAGGAGTGCCGTCCTTTACACAAACAGTAACGTA